AAAAAGATATGAGCCAATCTCGCCAAACGCACTTTGACTTATTGATGCGTGACAGTTTACAGTTGATAGCGCCCTAATAAAGTTTTATTAACTAAAATGTCTATACAGGCAGCGGTTAATGCGAAATAAGGACAAATAAGTCAAATCTTTCTGAGTTTTGAAGATTTATTAAACCATAAAAACGGCTACCGCGAGTTTACGATGAGTCTGGCTTCGTACCTTGACATATATTTATATGAATTTATAAATGTAATACGTCATAAAATGTAACATTTGCGTATTAATTTTAAACATATCAAAGAGTTTGAGAGTTACATAACTGTTTAAATTTACTTAACTTTTTGATTGGTTAAAACGGTATCATATTTTAAAGTAAATTTGGCACGACACTGTTGACAACTTGAACCCTATCAACGAAATTTATACCAAAACCATAATTTTGTACCATGTACTCGTATGATTGTCTAACAAACTTTCACCACGCAATATAATGAGGCTTACACACTAGATTATCTTTTCATTTTACTTTTCATTCTTGTCCCCGCCGAGGGTCGCAATATTAATTACAACAAGAAAACAATGTAAGTCGTAATTAATTTTAAAAACCAAGGAAACCGACTGACTAACAATTGCAACACTTCGGGGAATAATACGAATCGAATGATTTCTAAATTCAAAAACACAGAAGAAGTATAAAAACGTCTTTCTCATATTTAGTCTTTCTTTACAAATTAAGTCCATCCAAAAGGTAAGTGTACATATTCCCCTAAGGGCGACGTACATGTGGTGTCGGCGGGCGTACCTCACAGTGCCAGGCTCGCCCTACACTGTATTACGATAAAGGTCTCAACTATGACACGAGCCGCCGCGCGTCAAAACCACTAAAACTTTACGGCGAACACGGCTAGACGGTAAGTCAGTTTTTTGGCTCCAAGTCCATCAAAATTTGTAGCCAAGACGAATCGCCGAACATTGCACCAACAGACGCGGGGCACGTAAGTAGCTTTTGCTTTTTTAGTATAAAATGCTTTTAATGTAGATGCAATTATTAGGTTTTCAAAATTTAACTCAGCAAATCATATATCAAACCATTTCGTTAAAAATTTAAAAATATTTATTCTTCATCTTAATTATTCTGTAGCATGGTATATGTGTTATTTGTATGTTAAATTGTTGTTGTTTTGCCGCAGCTTTTTGCATCCGCATGTGCGCGCCCGCCTCGAGAAGCACATGGGCTCCAACCTTGTACGCCTCACCGACAAGACATACATGACCGACTTGGAGGAGAGGATACGCAGCGTCAACGAGGAGAACCTCAATAAGAGAATATCTATGAGAGTTGTGAGTATTAACTACAAAACACTACACCAACACACACAATAAAGAAACAAATAGAAAATTGCGAAATGTCCTGAACTCTGTAGAGATACACTCTATCATTGTCAAAAGCTCATGTGATCTTAGTAGCTTGGTCTCCCCTAACTTGAGAAGGCTCTGAACCACTCCGTGGAATGTATGATTTGAGGACAAAACAGATATTTACGGCAATTAACTTCTTTCAACTTAAAACTGATTATAACCACAGCTTGATGAGATGGAAAGACTGAAACGATTAATACTGGTGGGAAAGACTCCTCTCAAGGAGTGTCCTCCAGAGCTCCACAATCATCCCGTGTTCGTGTTTTGGAGGATGGTAAATAAAGAAGTTGCCAAAGCGTCGAAGAAAAGAGCGGATGCTTATTACAGGAAATTAAAATCCTCACACAAAGCTGATCAGGTAAGTTAAATATTTTTCCCTCTTTACATAAAATATAGTTTATATATAAATTTTTGTTTTCATATAACTCGATATTGTCACAACGCTTCGTTCAGAAAAGTGATCTTTTCATTACCACAGCTTTTCCAGTTTATAATTACCTATATTTTCAGACCATTGGCGAAGAAAGTGAAGAAGAAGAATCTGATGATGAAAGCTCAAAGCTAACTGCTGAGCAGCTCCTTGCTAAATGTCAAGCTGACTTGGAGGAACGCAAACTCGCAGACATCGAACAAGGCGTCCGCTTCACTGACGAACAATTCGCAATACTTAAATATGAAACCAATGACGTTAAAGCATTAAAAAACCTTACGGTAATATTTTTATTCTTTCTACAAGTTGTCACATAGCATCAGTAACTCATTTATCTCTCATTACCTAAATTGTTACGAAAAACAATAAAGCATACATATTTTAATCATAACGGGTTAGAAAAAGATAGCACAGTATATAAAATTCTCGTGTCCACAATCTTCGTTCCTATACTCCTCCGAAACGGCTTGATCGATTCTTATGAAATTTTGTGAGCATATTGAGTAGGTCTGAGAATCGGCGAATATCTATTTTTTAGTCCCATGCTGACGGAGTCGCGGGAGACAGCTAGTTTTAATATAAAATGTTATTTTTACATCATTTACAAATTAGAATAGTCTAGATCCAAGAAAATGATGCCAGGATGTCAAAAGGTCTGCATTATCGGCACTCATTTTCCCTGCGAACCATTTAAGATTTACGACATGTATTAGACGGTGCACGAAGTAATCGTCGTTTTGTTTACATACAAGTAACAAGGCTCGTGTCAAACCGGATCCAACCGGATATCTAATAACTCCGAGTGACCCTTAGCTCAGTTTGCTCCAAGATACCGAATACAAATAATAGTGATGTGCCACTGTGATCTTTAAGTTTGTTAAGACCAATTTTTATTTAAATATTCAAATAACAATTTTAGGCCAAGATACAATGTTATCTTTTTCGTTAGTACCTCATACAGGAAAATATAGGTTTTCGAAGGTTTGTAAATATTTTTGTATGTTTTATTATACTTCTAAACCCATTTTGGCGAGTTCGATAGTTATTCACTTTGTATCGATTCTATCCCAGAGTTTCATAGACAGATGGGTTTATTGATTTTGGTTTACCAATTTATACGTAGTTAATAGTTTTCGAACGTAAGTCACCATTTAGACATCGAGATTGATGTACGTGTTACTTAACATCACCAATTCTTCGCATTGTGCTAAATATATTTATTAAATTTTTAATTGCTATATGAAGCTGCTCAGCTTAAATAAGCGTAATTTTTGGTATTATCCCTTGTTTGTAAAGGACATTGACGTAGGGGAGCAAAATAGTTTTGCGAATATAGTTGCTTCCTGGCGGCCTTAAGACTCGTGCAGGGACTCGTGGCTCAACCCCTTCTCCTAAAACGAAAATCAGATTTGTGTATTTTGTAAATAGTGTTTTCTAAACTTAAAAAAAAACGTTACACATTTTTTACTGTATGGCTTTCAGATATTTTTACATAGACATTTTCGTCTGAAACATATTAATTGAAAGGAAGCTACAAAGTAATAGTTATCGTCATCTTACTCTCGCTAGTTTTAACTGGAAACCTAATCAAGTTCAAATGAATCACACGATAAAACGTGATTAACCTTCCACGTATCACTCACTGGCAGACCGATAGTCAGGTTAATACATGCTGCACTACTTCAGTTTTCTAAACTAGTACAATTTATATCTATATTTTAAACCACATATTCACATGGACTTTATTATTCATTCGTGTCTAGATTCTGGGTTTTTTTTTGTAAATATTCATCAATTCAATTCATCAATACTTAAAGATTGGAAATTAATAAAACATTAGAAATTAAGGGATTTCTGCTCTTTAAAATGTGCATATTGAGACGGTGTAGTATAGTGTGAGAGTGGCATGATTTTTGTTTTTTAAAAGTCAACTATTATTTTTAACGGATGAGGTTTCAAATAAAACAAAATAAAGCCTATATATAAATACCTATTAGAATAGGGCTTGTGGGCAGTTAGTCATTTTTGATTAGTGTCACAATCAGCTTACATTGTAGTTATCACGTAAAAATCGCGTCCGGCAGATGGCGACTGTGCAGAGTCCACGCAACGCGGACACGAGTGTCGGGCGGTGTCATTGACATCTCTCTGTTGCTTGGCACGATTAAACAAAATCTTTGTTTCAAATTTTTGTTCCGTAAACGTGATTAATCTTGAGTTGTTGATGATGTCAATAAAATGCGGAACGTTTTGAAGCTATCGTTAACAAAAATAAACGTTTGTAGTATCACTATTTCAAAACAAACAATATTTGACACTGATAGGATCGAGCTAAGTTTCGTTATTGAGAGAACTGCGACTCAATCGCTACGATTTTACATAATACTACCTGACGCCTGCAACTCCGTCTGCGCGGGATTAAAAATGAATAGGATCTTCAGATTCGTTACGGAGGAATATGGTAATTAACATTGTGAAATGAGAATTTTATATATTAGTCTATTGCCGAAACAATAATATGAACTGTGTAATACATTTTCACGCATCATTTTATCATATGGAACACTAAAATCCCTCCGTGATTTCAAACACTGCGTAAACATAATTGTGTTTACTACGCTACCGTTTGATGCCTTCTCCGATGTATGCGATGCCGATACTAAAATCTTTACGGATACTAAAACTGCTGGCAACAATTTGTTACTTCATAGGCTTGTGTAACAACTTAATTCTTACATTTTTTTTTTATTCCAGACCGTCGAAGAGCTCTACGCACTGGCTGATAAAATCATTGGCACGAAACGTATTTAATAAAAATGTAACAAACAAAAGTCATGTATCTTTGTCTACTTTTATATGTTTATTACAACCGTCAAATATTTTTTTTAATTATATGATTATGTAAAAAAAAATTGAAATATACAATTATAAAAATTGTATCATAGGTGTAGTAAGTGATATATTGAAATTGAATAAATAAGGAAATGTTTTGTTTATAATCAGTTTTTTATTCTACTATTTCTTAAAATTTTAAATACGAAAATGATAATGACTTCCACAGCACACATGTATATAAGTAAATAGTTTTACTTCTGAATTGATTGAATATTTTATTTTTGATTTGAAATTAAAAACGAATTGATGAAATAAAAACACAATTCTTATTTATTTATATTTAATAGTTATTTTCTAAGGTTCAACAATTTATATACAATTCAATTTTGTCCGATTCTTATGTACAAATTAAAAATCAAAGTATACCTCACAATACGGAGCTTTGTGAGATGTTTGGTATTAACACCTTTATTAAAAATAATGTATATTAATAACAATAGATAATTACATAGCACTAGTACGAAAATTTAGTCAGATTTAATAAAAGTTTATGGCGCCTCACTCTCTTAAGTTGACTAGATTTTGATTGATTTATTGAGAACTTGAGCGCTTATTACGTTACCTATCCAAAGTATTTGTTTATTAAAATTCTTATAAACTATACACTTTAAACTAATTTGAACTAACTCACACGGAATGTGTATGAAATACTAAGCTTTTTTACATTCTTGAACTTACAATTCAACTGATTGTAGACATTACAAAACATTTGGTTTGAAACCACGTGTTGTAAGTACAATACTCTGCTACTAAACTGTTACCATTTTACACATCAAATCTAGAATTAATATTATATTTATAACTGTATTTTAGATCCAAGATTATATCGTAACAAAATAATAGCAAAATATGTTTTTTATAGATTCATTAAAATTCATCATTGTAGACATTGCTACGAAACGTAGCCTTTAACTACATCACAAATGACTCTTGGGTCTACGGCGTAGCTGTGCGTAGATTAAGCCGGCTGGCTTATCGATAGGTTGGTAGATGTGGTGTCGTGGGTCTCCTTTCGTCACGTTAGCAGGGAATTTGGACATGTCTATATTTAGATAATGCTTGTTTGGCATCGTCATTTTGATCCACGAAATCTGTGAACAATATTTTTACATAAATATATATTGGCGTATCTTTTGTCCATGTAAAAAAATATCGATAGATTGTAATGGCCTTTCTGAGGACTATGATTTAGTACGCTATCAGTGTCTTATTTATTGAAATTACATAATTTGTACTGGTATCATAGGCCGACTAATATAGAATTGATAAATTCGCCAAAGTGATATCATATCTTGTGTACACACAACAATCAATAGTTATAATAGTTAAGACAATTATCGCTTCAAACAAGCACACGTTCAGCAAATTATTGTCATATAAACAATAGTGATCCTTATAATAACTTATCGCTGCACGCGGTCGTCCTATATACTTGTACATAGTATATGTTATTATATTACACTCGGTACAATAACATTTCATTGAGATAGCCTCGGTCGGTACATGACCACTTGATTAGTAAACAAACAGAACTAATTAAGGACAAGTAACACCCGAAAATATCATGATGCTTATATCAATCGCTCGAATTGATAAACATGTTTTTAAACGAGAGTACAAACTGTTTTATTACATTAATTACTATTATTATGTAAAAACTTCGTGTAAAGAATAAAGTGCTCTATGATACTAAAATATATTCGCAAAAGATTCATCAAACACTATAAATGCAATAGAACATTTAATATAGTAATAATAAACATTATGGAGATGGAAAACATTGTGAGGAAACCTGCATAGAAGTATCTTCGTAGAAATTTAAAGACGTGTGTAAAGTCAACCGCCCCACAAGAGTTTTACTAAGGCCTAATCAACCCTAATGTGGTAATTGGTAATTTGCTAATTATGAGCTGTCTGTCGTAGTTAAAAAATCCAGGTACCAACCTCTGAAACTTTTTCTAAAACCATCTTCTCTGCTTGGTACAAGGTGTGCTGGACGGAGGGGGAGTAGACGCCGGTGTCGGGAGGGCCGGCGAACTTCTCCAAGATGGCGTCCTTCACAGTGAGCCACGCGTTGTCGAAATCCGCTGTCCGCATACTGTCGTACGTCCATTCCGCCTCCACCACCGTACTAAAGGAAAAATATATCATTGAATATACTGTGTCTTCTTATAATTTATAACTTTATAAATTATTTTAACCTATCTGGTAGTAATATTTTTATAATACCTGAATATTCTTTCAGCAGCATCCGCAAGGGTTGTGTACTCGTCTTGAACGAAATCTACGAAAGCGGATTGTGTCGTTTTCAACACTCTTAATCCACTCAATCCCGACTTAACAACTACTGCGTCTGTAAATAAAATACATATTAAAGATAACTACACATCTAAACTGAAGATAATAAGTAAACAAAAAATATTTCTCATAAAAAAGTAAGTCAAGAAGCAAACTTTTAGAAATATTATGTTAGTTAATTTATCTAACTCAATTCATTTACTTTAATTTTCCGCCTACGGGACCAATTTCAAACTAGAGCTTTTTACTGTTTATACTTTTCTTTAAGTTTTAAGAAAAATTATCTTTGGCTTCTTACGGGGAATAAAGTAATAATATCTTTTTCAAGGGTTATTTTAATATTTTCTTACCGTGTCTAACTTGGGAAACTTCACACCACCTCGTGGCGGCGGGTGAGAAGATGAAGGCGTGATTGTGTGGCGCGCCCGCCTGCAATCGCTCCCACGGGTACTCTACCACACGACACTTTGCCTCACCGACTTGCTTGTATGTATACAGGAAATGGTTCACAACAACTGCGCCGAACTCTTCAGGTGTCTTTACACCGTGCTTTTTCGCCAGCAAATAGACGGTGTTCTTCTGCGAGTCTGTGGCGACCACGTCTTTGTTGTCGCCGATCACGTAGGGTGATTCGCTGGTCAGCTTCAACTCAGTGGACACGTCGTACTCCCGGATAGCGTGGTATTCGCCATCGCGGTACACGTGTAAAAGCTTGACGCAGCTTTTACCGTAACCGTGGTCGCTAAGCTCGAAGCGGCCGCCCGTGTCGGCGGCGGCCGTAGGCGCGGCGCGGGCGCTGCTAGCAGTTGCGACGGCTGCGACGCCTTCGCCCCCACTCGTGTTGGAGGGTTTCGCATAGATTCTATATGAAAAACAACAAAATTAGTACTTATATTTTGATCAAGAACTTCGATTCGTGTGTAGAAAGCAGCTATAATTTAGAAAGCTGTTTGGACGTTATTGTACCTGTTGGTGCTAGTCCACGGCATTTCGAACAGTTTACTTTATTTTGAGTGTGTGCAAGAAACAACGACGGCTCATGTAGGCCAGACCCGAGTGACTGCGATAAGGACCGGCCAGCCCCTCATATATAAGAGTAACCCGTGACCCGCGTTATCGCTGACGAGCACGCGCCCAGTGGGAACTCAATAGTAACATGTCTATATTTGATATTTACTGTGACGTAAGGCTGATAACATCCAAAAAGACCTGTACATGACAACGGCTCGTTCTAAGGTACAACACAGAGCTATACAAAATTACACGTGACTTCATAGAACTTCTACATCACAGTTCAACTTCAATAGCAACAGAGACTATTCGTTTCATCCAGGTTATAGGACCTTGACCACGCGTTATATATGACCATATCTAACTTTCAATGTAACCTAAAAGTTAAGGTTACGATAATGTTACCTAAATTAGTCTTAGAAAGTTTGTAATAAGCTTGTAGCCTTATTGGCCATCGTAGTAATTCATATGTTATACCGCTTGTAACTTTGTCCGTATAAGACAATTATTATTTTTATGAAAATTACTTAAACAATACGTGAGGGAGTATTTAGAAATTGTCAGATAAAATAAAATATCGTACATTCAATTTCAAAATTAATACATAGGTTTTGCGACACGTTTTCAATTATTCTCACAAACTTGTAAAATTTAATTTCGTTATTATTATGACTAGAGATAACCAAACATATAATTATTAGAAACTGAGCATATCTAATTTAATAATGGATAACTGTTGCGAGAATTTTAAAGTTTTTTCCTCAATAAATGATCTGTTAGATAACAGTAAGAATACACAATGCTGTATTAGTCCCATCATTTGACAGGACCACATAAGATTTCGCTCTCTTATGTTAGATAGGTTACTCTTTCTCTGACTTAAGCGTAAGTTCCCACTGCTAATACCCATAAAAATAAATTATAATGTTCATCTTTTCATAGACAATTATAGGGATGCCAACATGTTCTGTAGGTGATGTCAATGGAAACCCACGTTATTATGAACATTGTGAAGAATATTACGCAACAATCACCAAGAAAAGCCGTTGATAATAAAAATCTTCTGTAGAATGGATGGAAAGGTGTAAGGCTCCTCTTATTAAGAAAGGGTGTAAATATTTAACACCTTCACGGGATTACGGACGATGCGGCGAGTAAAACCCCAATATAAGCATGTAAACACTTTTATATATAAGGAATTAGATTGATTTAGCCTTCGTCTATACAGATAAAATAAATTGTGAGCTTTTGTTTATTTGTCAAATATAATCTCTTTTATCATCTGCGGAGTCAAGGCCTGGTGTTAGCATATAACGTAAAGAGGCGATATGCTGATCGTCTGAGGCACGCGTCACTTGTGCCACATAATTAACTTCCTTTATCGACAGTTCAACGTATGGATTCAAAGTACATAACGTATAAGAGAAATTATATTTGTAGATGTCAATTTAATTGTTGAGGGCATCATTAATTACGTTATGTTTTAATTTCTGTGCTTTAGCTATAGATTCTTATCATTCACCAATTCACCCAATTTAAAAAATAAAAAAAGATTGCCTTTAAAGTTCTTTGAATCTTTTAAAATTACAGTCTTCATATATGTTCCAAAAAAGTATAAGGTGAAGGTGAAAATCAGATGACAAGCTGCTGCATGTTTATTAAATTTTGCGTTTCTCATTGAGTGAATTCCAACTAGGAACTTAAGTGGTCATACACAGACAATGTTATGAAGTCGTTCTGCGTTGGACCGGTTGCGTTTTAACGCTGAATATTATTGCATGACCAATATAGTGATAAGTTAACTTAAAAAATTAAAAACATAACAATCGAAAAACAACATGCAGTGACGAAGATCACCCTTGACCCCAGCGTTTCAATCGCAAAGACAAATAAGGTCACAATTTATCATAACGAAAACAAACATACTGATAAAATATCACGAGATCTCCATACATGCTACCGTCCAAACTTTATGATGGCTCAAAATTTCACACGAGACACTACGCAATCCATTATGTTAGATATCAGTGAAACGTATTATGACGTACCAAACGCTAGTAGCTAATCACAAGTCACCCTAAAGTTTGAATCTTATAATACTTATACTTTTTATTCATAATATTTATTTTGATTACCATATGATGTACACTTATTTATTATTTCTAATTGTAACCATCCTTGGATAATCTTATAAAATTGCATATTAGAAACCTAATTAGTACAGTATAATGAAGACGTTACAGGAAAGAGATGATTATATAATATACCCACATAATTTATTTATGATGATGAAATATTTAGACGTACTAAAATAAACATATACACAACAATTTAAGCTTCGCAACATTGCATTGCGGACATGAAATCCGTAATGTTTTGGCATGTGTCGCTGGCCAATTAGGAACAAGCAATAATATGTTAACTCGCTTGACATCAATTAAATCGTTTTTTTTTTTCTAATTGAGTAAACGTACGAATCATGATATTGATTGTCACCGGCCACAAACAGCGTCAATATTATAAGTATTAGCGTATCACGATTTTTAAAAGATCGTTACGTAATTTTTGCTTTTTAAATTAAGAACATTCATATCAGTTAACTAACGAAATTATTTACTATCTGTTTTTAATATATAATTCCAATATTGATTTTTATTACTCTTGTAATTTATTTTTAACTCTTTTAATATATTTTACACTGTACATCATATTTAAAATAAGTGCTGCGCATATTTTATAGATGCATCGTAACATTTTACGCGTTTCATTTTTATTTAGGCCAATTCCAATCTGTCAGAAATCGGTACGTGAGTGAGACTTAAAGAATTTACTTCAATCAAATTAAGGTATTGAAGGTACAATAATTGAAATAAAGATGATAATTGGATTGACAAACGAAAAAGTAGGTAAAAGTTATTCATAAGTAGTTCCAAGCATTCCTGACAATTTTTAATTGTTAACAAGAATTATTGTAGTCTTAATGCCTTAATTCGACCGGAGTGTAATTTTTTCATCATGCTACCCTTTGCGTCGCACACATCGCGCAAGTGTGAGTGAGGCAAATGAGAAAGCAAGACTTGATCGAGCTTTGCTTGCGAAATCACGTAATAACATCGGGCGGCGGCGTTGAGGCGGGCGACTCGTTTGAGAGATTGCATATGATCATATCGACATCGATATCACAAATGTTGTCAGACACTACCAGCGATATTTAAAATCACGTTATTATTGACCGGAGAATATAACATAGTTTATGTTCAAGCACACATTTTTACTTTTTTTTATAACGTAAATATTGACCATTGGATTTGAAAATCGTTGTTAAAACCTACCTTGCCCATATGGAAGGAACGGGTCATTGAAAAGGTCTATAATACGTAGTCGAATAAACTGTCAAGCGGGCAACTACCGAACTTAAAGCAGTTTTATCTAGATTTCAACCAATCTGTTAGAGTGGAATGGTGATAAATGTCGACAAATACTTTTACGCAGTTCCTGTAGCTTCACTATAGGTGACGCGTTTTGGGAATGAGAGCTGCGCCGTGCGCAGGCGCGAAGGGCGGGCGGCGGGCGGCGTGACGCGGCGCGCTCAGCTGACGGCGTGCGCGTGACGCGACGCCGTCGTCGCCGTCGCCGCGCAGCCACGGTGCACGTCCCAGACGGTCCGCGCTCCGACCCACATGCCACGCGAACCCTATCCGTGCTAAATACTTTCGTACACCGTGTTGTGTAAAGAACATTACCCATGATGGTCCGCAGGAATGGTCGCTACACCGTCAGTCTCCGCGGCTTCCGGGACTTTGCCTTCGGGAATAAGCCGCCCGATGACGGTGAGTACTTTGATAATATTCTACCGCAGCGATCCTAACCTCAAATAGTTTAAATACCGGTAAGCATTGCAATGTTCGTGGACGCTTTTGACGTATTATTTGAAATATCGTAAAATTCGATATTCGGAATGCCGCAGTCGCTCGCAGTCGCAACGGTTATAGCTGCAGGATATTGCGTGCGTGAAAACATCGTTTATATGAATCACTGTGTTTTTGAATTTTAACAAATGATTCACTATTGATTTTGTTTGTATTTAATACGTTGTAAACAAAAGTTTTTACTGTAATAACTGTTTTGTAGAGAGATGCTACACTTTTTTCGATATTGGTTCGTCTACCTAGCATATCTCAAACATAAAATATTTACATATTTATAAGTGAAAAGCCTTAATTTTCAAAATTTTCTCTACTATGATAATAAGCGTTTACAAAAGTATATACATAAAGATATTCTAGGTTATTATGAATAAGAAAATGATTTTATAAATATACTTAACCGGTTACATTGTCTAAATTGTACGCCTTTGCGGGCATAAAATATTCCAATGGTAGGGATTTATGTCATTCATTGTTGTTGCGCAATCCGTTGAACTCTTAACAAGGAATAAAGACCGTCAAAAGGCATTTAGCGAACCTTTTGTATCGGCTTCTATTATCAAAAGTATTTTTTTTTTAATTTAACTGCCCGTGAAAAATCGTGAATTGTTACATCACATATTTGTCTATAACTAATAATAAACTATAATTTTGCGTTACAAATGATATGAAAGCTAATAAAAAATAAGCTAACATGACATTTTTAAACGATGGGGTCCACTAGTAACTAAAATAAGAAGAAGAAGAAGAAGCTAACATGATCTATGGCACTATAATTTCTACCTTTGCTTTCCCAAGTAAAAAACAAACATATTTTCTGTGGCTTTATGTGTAATGCATCACTTAACACCGCCGCCACCTAACGAGTACCACTAGACATACATATTTATAGCGCAAGTCATTGAGCACGTACGTTAAATTCAAACCTTCTCCAAAATAAAATTTATATGTGAGACAATTTATATTTTATAATGTCACTGAACAATTCATATAAAAATGTTTTTTTAAGATATGAAAATTATTTTAGGAAGTTATAAATGTCGTAAAACTTAGGCCTCAGTATGAGTTACTAAGTTTTATATTTATATATCTTTATTTGGAATATTAATATTTCTTTGTACATCTTACAGAAAAACAAGAA